AGTGATCGCAGGCCTGTCGAGTGTCGCGCCAACTTTAACACTCTGAAGATCCTCATTAACCTGAACACCTGAGAGGACACAGAGTGGACTATGAGTCTGAATCTTTAAAAAGAGTCTAACTTTGGCTGCACGGCAGCAGCTGCAGACATTCACTACACTGATCCAACGGTGGAGTCACCAAGCTTCAAATAACAGGGTCAGTGAACAGACGCGTGATCGCCGCGAGCTTCAGATGGGTTTTTTCTAATGAGCACAGAAGCCACACCCACCATGTGCTGTAAGCTTTTGTTTGCGAGGAACAGACAATCAGAATAAAGTTGCATCAAAGACATGTTGGTGTTAAAGACCCTAGCATTAGCTCAGCAGCAGGCCCATTTTATTTTTAGTGCTCTTTAAATGACAGAAAGTAACAGAAAGAAGAGAAGACGAGCTTTAGAGAGATAAGCACAAAGCATTCACAAGGTACTGCCGTCTGAACAAAGAAAAATCAGCTTCACATTACTGTAACTCCTCAACTACACTGGGCTACAGAAAAAAAAAATGGTTCCTGAAAGATGAGAATTATTTTATAATTTTACAGCCACAATGATAAAATAAGCCCAGGCGGTCTGTATGATACTGGTGTGATAAAGGGTTCAACAGTGGGTGAACTGAGGAGCCACATTAAATATAACTATTTTGAACTGGGAATGATAAAAAGTTACTCAATTGTGAAACGAAACCCTAAAAAAATCCCTGACCCCAATGTTTTAAATTTAAAATGAACTGTACGTTATTGTTATAAAGAGCAAGTTTTGTGTTGTGGCATTTGAATCTGTTTGTCATTTTAGAAATATTGATTGAGAAATAGCTCCAGTTACACATGTATCATAGTCGTGCACTAATTAGCCGCACAGATCCATGAAATGCTAGACTGTCATTCAGGACCTGGAAATACATCAGACTAATGGAGCTACAATCCATAAGCCTTAGTTTCCTTCTGCTACAGGATAATCTTAAAAGTGTGACATTAAGACCTGTGAGTAAACATACACTCTTACATTGACTTCCTTTATGATTTCTCTTCATCGTGTGTAACAGGGCTGCCACGATTAGTCGACTAGTCACGATTACGTCGACTATTAAAATCGTCGATGACTGATTTAATAGTCGACGCGTCGTTTGAAGCTTTGTAAGA